ATTTTATATATTATGCACAGTCAATCAAAAGAAATTACCTATAATTGTAATGGGTGTTTGGCGATTAAACATTCTACAAATAAAAAGATATTGCAGTGAAATTCCCTTCAAGTAGACTTGTGTTGCAAAAAAACCCCCACCTCTTTCATCCACACATACATTAACCCTTGGGGGGATAGGGGTCTGGATATCTTATAAACAGGGACGGGATGGGAGAGGTTTCTTTGCGAATTTATGAGATTCTTGATTAAAGATCCAGTCCTCAACATGGAACCCGTCGCTATCAACTCACTTCGGATGAGTGACAATTTATGGGAAGGGAAGAATTTGCGAGCCTCTATGACCAACTTGAAAATATTAGATAGGTTTCTTCTTCAGTGATTTTCTCAAGTGAGGAAAACACACAGGGCTGCACAGAGGGCATGCACGAGGGGGCGGGTGGAATGGTTCTTTTTCAGTAAGAGCTTTAACGGCACTGGCGACACAATTAGGTAACATAAAGTGCCGAAGATTAGACGTGTTAGAAGAGAGTAACAAACACAAAACAGAACGAGAGAAAAGGCCGATAGATGTCTGATAAGAAAGAAAAGGAGCAAACCACACCAGAGCATCCACCAACCGCCAAAGGGAGGAATCTGAACCCATTTTCAGACTGCTCTCTTAATATTCTTTTTTTTAAACCAGTAAATCAGTGAGATAAGCACTAACTGTGTGACGAGGGTGGAGACTCTCGGAGGTCTTGGGTGCACCCTTGCAACATTTGGAATAAAAAAAACTGTTGTACAATAAACAAATATCCATATCACACCTTTCACCTTCCTTGATTCCCAACGCATTTACCATGACAAATAGCTCTCCTTAGGAGCAAAAAATTAAGAAAGTCAAGGTTTAAAGGAAGGGGAAGAGTACTTGGGCAATCTACTATCTTCCTGTATGTCTACCGCCAAGATAAAGCTATATCATAAATACTGCTTTAAGATCGTCTGTCAAGAAGCAAAAGACCATGTCATAGTCTGTTGGACGGTGGGTTTTTTTCTGTTGAGGGACTATTTTAGTTTCAAGTCATAGTGAAATGTCCAAGAAATCCAGAGAAGCTTTTTTAGACTTCTTTGAAACACTTTTTAAGGGAAGGCAAATAAACAAATAAACCAG